GATTCGGAGCTGTGAGCTCCCTTAATGTTCTCGTCTCAAGAGCCATAGTGATCGGCTCTTCGGTCTCGCTAGAATGAGAGCTAGCGCTTGATGATTCCTCCGAAGAAGTATTCGGAAATAAATTCCTAAACCTTTCGAAAGCTTGTTCCGTTTGGGGGTTTGTTTGGTAGATGATTTCGTTTATAGATCGGGTCCTTACCATATACTCAAACAAAGCTCAGAAGAAATGGAAATCTTTATACTTCAACTATATTTTTTTTCTTTTTCTTTAAAATAAAATAAAAAGAAAAATTAATTGCCCTTCCCCGGCAACGGCGCCAAATTTGACGTGCACTTTGTCGTGAGTGCACTCAAAGTAAATTCAGTACAACACTTATACGTAGTATAGTGAAGTAGAGTTCGTATCCACAGGGAAAGAAACACTTCTCTTTTTATAAACTAATTAATAAAGGGGGGGGGTTTTGATTGTTGAGTGATTTAATTAAATTAAACACGAAGATGAACGAGTTATGTGGTTTAATACAAAGATAAAAGGGACTTGGCATTGCTACTTTCCACTTGTTGATATATTTTAGTCGATCATTGTTATATCTATAACTTATCTCCTCTCGAATACTCAATCGAGGAGTATATCCAATTCATCGAGGATAGTTATTAACAACGACCGTTCATTAATAACCCTTACTATTAGCCAAGTATAGAACAAGCGCCGTATACTGACTTGATAGTAGCATTTAATCGCTTAACTCCTTGATGAAATCAATTGAGATCGATAACCTCAACACAAGCGGTTTCGGTTTAACCAACACAATTAATCCCTCTTAAGTCTATTAACCACGACCGTGCATTAATAGACCGAAGTTACTTACTTGTGAAACTATCAACGATTAACCATTGGTTCGTTGATCGTTTCTAGTAGTAATTAATATATGAAACAAAACTAGTTGATCCTTTAAGTAATGTTCAAAATATTAATATGAAATATGAATAGGAATCAATTGATACTCAAGGAAGAATATTAAAGAAGATGAATCCTACTATAATTAATATTAAGATGTTAACTAATTGTCATCTTAGTAACACTCCCCAATATTAACATAGAGGAAGAAATGACTATTACTATAACTAATGTCAAGATGTTAACTAATTGTCATCTTAGCAACACTCCCCAACATTGATATAGAAATAGCATTTGAAGAAAGAATTAATATTCAAGGAAAGAAATTAAGAAAATAACTCACAACTTTGATAATAAACAAGCTTCAAGAGCAATACCAAGAAATGGAGGTTTAGCTCCTCATTTGGAGACTAAACATGCTAAAAGAAATATAGAGAAATGCTATTCTAAACTGAGCTTAAGAGTATAAAGGAATTGGTGTCTAAAAGTGAAGGAAAGGAGGTGTATTTATAGGCTTTTTGAGGTGCAGGATCGAGTACTCGATCGAGTATGTATACATACTCGATCGAGTATGTATAGAAATCAGAATTTGGTCAATACTCGATCAATACTCGAGTAGATTTTATATGCATACCCGATCGAGTATATAAGCATACCCGATCGGGTATAGACACTCGAACGTGGGAAAATCTTCTCCTGCATGTTCCTTTGTTTTCGGATCCGATCCGATTTGAAATGTCAACCAGATACCCGATCGAGTATATGTATATACTCGATCGAGTATAGACCAAAATCAGGATTTTTCCTTCTTTTTGTCTTGTACTCTTGCACCTTCCTTCACCATTGATCATTTGATTGATCTTGGACCTGTTTAAGCTCAGAATAAACCTAATCTAAACAAATTACAAGAATTTAACAAACTAAACTATTACACCGAAAGTGTGTAATTTCCGAAATATTAAACAATCAAAACTAACTAAAAGCGTAAATAAACATACGGAAATTACAAACGTATCAGTGCCTGTCGTTCGTGCCTCCAGAGTAAAACGCGCGTTCCAGGGTCACGCATGGCGTGCCTCCCGGGCAGGCACGACGTGCCTGACCGGCAGTAGCTCCTGATTGATTTCCTTCAGCGCACACGGCGTGCCCGACTTCGGGCGCACGACGTGTATCCTTTCTGTCCGAATTCGACTATGCTTCCCTCACCCAAGTTGTAGCTAATGAAGTATTCTAACCATCACTACATGCAAAACTGGATTTGTATCGTTCAATAAAAAGATAAGAATAAAATGGTGTAAGGTCTCATCTTGAAATCTCAACAGCGATCATTTGACTTCCTCGTCTTTTTTCACCTTTCTCCTCTCATATTCTCATAATGGTGTCTCATATGATTTGTATCCCTTAAAGTTAGCTTTCATATGCATCTTAAATCGTGTACAAAAAGATATGCTTGAACGATTGACGGAATGTCATTCTGATCGCCGTTTACAAGCTCTATTCTCTTCTTTTGATCTCGTAGCCAATTCTATAACTCTTTTGTCATCAAATCTTCATCGTGAACCTTCCGGTGACCTCCAAAGCTCTCAATTCTCTCTCTAATGCATCTTGACTCGTCCCAATTGCTTCTCAAGCGCCGATGCTGGGCTCAACTTCCCTGATTTTGCCTCCAAAAATACCAAACTCGAACCAACACCCGGTAAAATATGTTTTTACCTAAAATTGATACTTATGACACCTTAAAGCTAGGAAAACCTTCAAAAGCCGATCTTAACGCGCATCAAATGTGTGTTGACATACGGACTTATCAATCATATATATTAAATTAATATATATAAAAATCATATATATTAAATTAATAAAAAAAATCATATATATTAAATAATTTCATTAAGAATGATTATTTCAAAACTACCTGACAGGATCCGCCGTCCAACCACTATGTTTGAGGTACTTTCGGGTTGAATTTTTTGATGAAATGTTTTGAGAATGTTTTCCAATGATGTGTATACTATATTACTATTACACCAAACTTTAGTTTAAAATTCAATCGGAAAGTGAATTAAACAAATTATTGAAAAATATTGCGCCTGAATGTATATAAAAACGCAATGTTTTTCAATAATTTATTTAGTTAACTTACCAATTCAATTTTAAGATGAAATTTGATGTACATAATCTGCACTCAATGAAAAATATGATTACAAAATTTCATCACAAAAATCTATTCGAAAGCATCTCAAGTAGAATCTTCTGTGAGATAATTCTTACCCAACTTTTTCTGATTAATTCATATATAATATAATACGAGTAAACAATAAAAAAAGTTGGGAGGGGGGCCTTGGAAATGACAAAAATATATATACATGTGTACGGATACTTTTGTATAGATATTTTTGTCATTTCCTCCGTACATATGTATAGATAATTTTGTCATTTTCTTCTTATTCATGTATTTTTATCTTCATTTTCTTTTTATGTATTTATCTTCTTAATCAGTTTCTCTTATGAATTTTTTTTCCCTCTCCCCCCCTTTTCTTTGAGTTGCTTTTTGAGCTTTTTTCATCTCTCTTCTATTCTTTTTGTTCAATATATATTCTCCATACTGCATAACTGTATTTTTCTAAGTAAGTCCACAGATTGACTCTATCAATTACATTAAAAGCATTTTGTGATAAAATAAACGGGGAAAATGAAATACACAAAAAGGAGGGGGTAAGAAGAAACGTAACATAGAACAATAAGTCACAAGTCTAATAACTCAAAAACTAGCGTAAGTGATGGAGTGAAAAGAGACAAAGAAAGTACAATGACTTCGAAGATGGAGAAAAGGAGTAAAAAGAAGAAGAAAAGTGATAAAAAGAAAAAATTGAAATAAAACTAAATAGAATAATAATCACTAGTGCAGGAGAAAAATCCTTAAAAGAGAATTAAGCGAATAGTAATGCACAAAAGGGGGAAATAAAGTAAAACTGGGGAAGAAGAAAGAAAGAAAGAAAGAAAGAAAGAAAGAAAGAAAGAAAGAAAGAAAGAAAGAAAGAAAGAAAGAAAGAAAGAAAGAAAGAAAGAAAGAAAGAAAGAAAGAAAGAAAGAAAGAAAGAAAGAAAGAAAGAAAGAAAGAAAGAAAGAAAGAAAGAAAGAAAGAAAGAAAGAAAGAAAGAAAGAAAGAAAGAAAGAAAGAAAGAAAGAAAGAAAGAAAGAAAGAAAGAAAGAAAGAAAGAAAGAAAGAAAGAAAGAAAGAAAGAAAGAAAGAAAGAAAGAAAGAAAGAAACAAATTGAAGAGAAATGCTACAAAAAAAACTTCTTTGATGAGGTGGAAATGAAATACATAAACAAATAAAATAAATTAAATAACAACTTAATTTGAAGATGGAAAAAGATAAGCAAAGTGTTGACATGATAAAAACTGAGAACATTTATAGTGAGAACATTGAGAAAATTGATGAAAGTTGGATGATTTATGTAAAGTTTTCCAAACAAAAATATGGTATACACACATAATCGGTCGGTAAGGGAACAACGAAAAAATCTTGGTGAAAAATTGAATTATTCGGGAACAACTAAAATTAAAAATAGTACTCCCTCCGTCCCTCTAAGATTGTCTCCTTTTACCTTTTTGGGGAGTCCCACTAAAATTGTCTCATACCAAATTTGGTAGAGATTATGTGACTCTAAATCATTCTTACTTTATTCTTACTTTATCAATTTAATATCAACTACACAAATTCACTTTTCTTAATAATCATGCCACCTTTCGTCCCAATCTTAGTTGGACGGAGGTAGTAAAAAGGAGCCAAATGACTAACACGTAGGTGGGTAACCGGGTTACCAGCTATCAATTTGATAAAAAGCTACTGTGTACATAGTATTTTTTTTATAATTCGTGAATTTGATTGATTCATTTATAAGTACGATAACTCAATTCACTTTTTGACAATAATAATACGAGAAGTATTTGACAGTTTTCTCTTTAATTAATACTCCAAAGTAATTAATTTTATTTCTTTAAAATTCTCAATATCTCAAGGTCATTAGTTTTGTATGCAAACTCCACACAAAAACGGCCCAATTGAAGTCATATGCAGGGTTGATCTCTCAAAGATGTACACTCAATGGCCCAAACTGTTTTATAAACAGAACCCACATATATAGGGCTTTGTCGAAACGGGTTTACCCAATTCTCATCCTCCGTAGCCATGGTGAAGAACAGAAACAAGAAGAAGAAAAATGGCGTTGCTCCAATGGATTGCATTGATAATAAGACGACCAAGGTCTCTCAAGGTACACACTTCACTCTCAAATTTCCCTTTGTGCGAGCGTGAGGCTAATCGTGATTCCTCTGTTGAAGTTTCTCTGATCATGCTAAAGCTCCCATCCATGTAATCTTATAATTGGTCTTATTTTATTTTAATAGTTATCTCAGATATGGATACTTCAGAGGCCGCTGCTCCGATACCTTCTTCGACAGGCGTTCACATGTCAGTAAAAATATCCGTTTTTACAGTGTTTTTATTGCTTTTTTATTTTCTTTTTGTTTGAAAGAGTATTTATTCACTAGAAAAGTATAGTACATACGTATATATGTATATGAAGATATGATTGACTGCTTGTAGGATTTAGAATGCAAAAGATCTGTGAGTTTCATGCTTTTGTTGGTTGTTCCGTGGAACTGCTTTGACATTATTATGGGGCTGACATTATGAAGAAGTATAAATTATGTCACGTTTAATCATCTGATGGGGAAATTAGTGTACAATTAGGTCATTAGCTTTAAAAGCCTTTGACTGTTAGAACTCCTTAGAAACATAGCTCCTTTACTTTGAGATATAGTAAAGCAACTAAACTGTGAAATTTACGCTTCAAAGCTAAGAATGAACACAGTTTGGGGAATGTTAGAGACTTACATGTCGTTTATATGATTAGAGTTGACCTTTCTGAAACTTTTTTAAGCAAAAAGAGCACACAAGTGAGCAGGCGGAGCTTCACTTAAAAGCAAAAGCGTTAAGCAAAGTGTTGCATTCTCACAAAAAGCAATGAACATCAAAATAAAATGCATGAGGTCGCACAAAAATTAGCTGATGCAAATCTCAAAGCCCATTTTTTTATGAATGAGGAGTATGGCCTGTAGTTTGCAAAAACTGATTCCCTAGTATCATCCACTCCACAACAATCGACTCCACTACTAAGCTCAGATCATATGCTCCATGCACTATTATAAAAACAACACTCTTGCTCCAAGTTTACTATAATCTGCCAATAGTGAAAGAATAAGTGAGCAGCATCTAAAACTAGATGTGGGGTGAGATTTTCACTGCTAAAACAGTTAAACTAGCAACTAGTCACACCAATTTCAAATTTTATGAAGTCTATGGGATAAATATTAGTGTAAACTATTGGTTATGGGTTATAAGATGTATTTTAATATTTTAAGAAATTAATTAACGGAGTAAACGTGATTTATAAACAACTGTTTTCTGTTTAGACAACATTATACTAACTGATCTAAATAGTTGGTAAAGTAATTATTAACTTTTATTGTCTGTAGTTGATAGATAAAAAGATAGATGTTTTTGTATGAAGGCCATCTTGGTATTGCTGTTATAGCTTTGAATTAGGAATAGAAAGAATTGACCATCTACAATGTAGAAGTTTTCTGAAATGGGGTTTTGGAGATTGTTTTTAAAGTTTAATAATTTTTTAAAATAAAAAACAGGTTTTAGCTCTGACTTGAAAGTTGATTTGAAGTTGTTGCTTTCATACATTTTATTATCCAAATCAACTTTCATTCTTCTACAATATAATCTATACACATAGTTTATCTATTAAAATAAAACAATGAATAGAACAATTAGATAAGAATTATAAGAACGTATCTTTTCTTGAATCTTTTTCTTTTTTACTTTTCAGTTTCAAGCTATTTTTTAATCATTTTTGTTGTTGAATATGTTTGAATCTTTTTCTTCTGGTAATGCAATTGTCATCTTCTTTTGTTTATGAATTTTTCCATCTGATTATGTAATCAACAATCATCATCATCTTCAAACAAATAATTTGAAGCAAAAAAAATTAATTGAAGAACTGAAAAAATACAAGTTAGAAGTAGAATTCGAAAGAAGATTAAGTTTTAACCTTAAACCAACTTGGAGATGTCGAACACGAGAGAATAGCAGAAGACTAAAGTTCTGTTGTTGGGATTAGAAAAGGAAGTAGATCGATACAGTCCAAGGTCATAAAAATAAAAGGAAGTAGATCAATGCAGTCTTAGGCCGTAAAAATGCAAGTAGATAAATGCAGTCCTAGGTCATAAAAATAAAAGTTAGCTCTTTCGTGAGAAGCCCTAAAAAGCGATGGTTTTAGAAGTTATGTGGGGCAACCAAAAGCGCCCAAAGAGACGCTTTGTCACGCGTTGTTGCTTATTAAAAGCTATGCCTTGAGTCCTTTTTTCGCTTGCGCCTTGGAACTTAAGCACGCTTTTGGTAAGTTTGTCTCTAACCCTACCTTCCCTGAAATAAATAATGTTTTCTGGAATTCCTTTTCCAGTGGAATTAAAACACATTCCTTTACTGAAATGTGTTTTGAGGAATTGGAAATTGCATGCCAACTATGTGTTCTGGAATTCCTTTTCCATGCAATTTCCAACACCCCTACTATGTGTTCAGGAATTCCTTTTCCCATGAAGGAAAAAGGAATTTATCATCATAGTTATAATCCATTATTTTGTTCCCTTTGCCGTTGGCAGAAAAAATGTCATTGATAGTAGTTGAGGCAGAGGGATAACAAGTAACCGTCATTACTTATATTGATGTAGGACAACTTTTGTCATAAACAAGGATAATTTTGTATTCATGTATGGAGTATATAAACTTTTAAACAAAGACTGCCAAATTCCATAGATTCTCGTATTTGGATTGTTGAATGTTGCGTGTGATTTTAAGCACTAATGTCATTTGTTCTAAACTACAGAAAGGTCAAGAGTGTACAAATGAAAAGAATGAAGAATGTCCGAAAGAAGAAAGCCATTGCAAAAGCTGAATCTAAATTAGAGAAAATGGAGGAAAAAGTCGCAAAGAAGGAAAACAAGTTAAAGAGAATCCGATTTGCCAAAAACCTATATGACTGAGACATTATTAAATGTACCCTTGTTAATCCTTTTGGCATTTCCTTTTGCAGATTGTCAAAATTTTCACTCGTATTGTATATTAATTATCTATCCGAACACTTTTACCTATACCTTAGACAGTTATTTTTTTAAATTAGACATTTAGTAATACCCAAATCGATTGTATTGAATGATTTTGTTGAAATTTATGAAGCTTTGGCTAAACTCATTGAAGTGGCTAGATTAGATAATTTTGTTTATTTACGAAAAATTGTATTTAAAATATATTTTATTAATAAAATAAAGAAAAGAGTATATGAAAATACAACTAAAATGATCTTATATTGTAATTTCAGTCAATACAATTAGAAAAGTAATATCAACTTTACTTTTCGTATTATTATGAAATTTTGCGCGTGAAATCAAAAGATTCAAGTTTGGTGATAAAGTTGATTGATAAGTTTGATATGTTGAAAAATAGAGTGACTAAATGAGTTCTTACTTAGTTTTTTTTTTCAATCAAGTTCTTACTTGGTTAATTCAGTGGTTGAAACAGGATTTCAGCAGATGAAATAGCAATGTAGTATGAATCCAAAATCTTCACCATTTGGTGCATAACTTGTGTGGTTTGTAGAGATTAAGATTAATCTTTCAGTTGTTGTAGCATTATAACTTCCGAAATAGTTACCAATTCAATCCTTATGTTGCAAATTGTGTGCAATTTTGGGGACGAAGATCAAATTATTAACATGATAAACTGATAAAGTAGTTAACGGTTGACTTGTGCTAAATTAGAGGTTGCTACGAGCCTACGATACTCTTAGCCTATAGCGATTGACTAATTAAAATATAACTAAATGATGAAATAATAACATAGACTAATGAGATGCATTAGAGGTTTCTAATATGTACTCCCTTTGTCCCTAAAAGAAGTTTCATTTCACTTATCGAGGGTCAACTTAAATCACTCTTAAACTGTTACTTTTTATATAAAAATTTATAAAAGTTGAATTATTTTTTGCAGACTTTGTAGCAGGTTTAATGTAGTTTCGTAATCCGCAATTGGAACAACATTTAGAGACGGAGGGAGTAATACTTTTGTTTTGGACTTTGGCTATGCTATATAAGCACAAGATAGTAAGATGCAAGTCGTGTTTGATAGTTAGCGGATCGATAACAATACACTCCGTAGTCCGTAGTATTTGTTAGTTGTTTTGATAAGACGTTATCATTAATGAATTGAAATAAGATATTTAATAAATTAGCTATATTGTTAATACGTATATACTACGTATATAACATTTCATATAGGAAAGGGTGTCAATTGTCAAATATACGCTCATATTATGTTGAAAAAGTCAATAGCCCCTCAAACTCAATAAACACCCAATTAAGCACCCGAATTTAAAAAAAAATGTTCAAATTACCTTTTTTCAAGTTACTCGATGAATTTACACATGTAACGACAAATAACCTTAATTTTCTTTTCTTTCTCACATACTCTATGGTTCATCGCCTCCCATAGTCTTCCTTACAATAATTTGGTTCATCGCCCCCACTCACTCTTCCCTATTTAACCATTTGGATGCTGATACACCACCAACTAGGCATTGCTACGCCGCTGGCTAGATGCCACCATTGGACTTAGCGAACTGGATGTCGACGGTTAGACTCTGCTTTGACAAAATCCGACGGTGACAACTGTTATTAGAAAACACCGCCTTATGTAGTTATGTTGCTTCGTATTCACAACTCATGAGCAGTGTCTAGGTGTAAACTTACCTGGTAATAATCAGTTTGTTACCTAACCAAAGAAATGATTTGAACGTTTCATTAAAAGTTCAGATGCTTAATTGGGTGTTTATTGAATTCAAGAGCTTAATTGACTTTTTCAACAAAATACAAGGTCTTATTTTACATTTCTCCCTATATTATTTCACATTTTCAAAATCGTGTGTATAAATAATTCTAGTTTGTAAAAGTTAATGCACAAACAAAAAATATCAATTAAAAATCACATTTACAATCAATGAATGCGTGACACAAAAAATAAACATTTTGTACGTGTCTAAAACGTTTTTTGTCTACAACAAACATTATTATTATCAGTAAAATTGGGTTTAAACAATCAACTTGTACACATGACCTGATTTTAGAGACAAGTTATCGATACAAAAGATTTTGAAAATGTGAACAAAATTTATACATTTTTAATTAGTTTTAGTGGTGGACTCGGGTCGGGCCACCCGGCCCGCTACTAGTGCTGGACTCGGGTCGGGCCACCCGGCCCGCTACTAGTGCTGGACTCGGGCCGGTTCGGGCCCGATTCGGGCCTGGGCCCGGCCGGGCCTCGGGCCAGGAAAGGAAGGACCGAGCCCGAACCGCCGGTGGCCGGTTCCGGTCCCGGTTCCGGGCCAAACCGGGCCGAACCGGCCCAATTAATTTTTTTTTTGTTCTCCTATTTAATCCCCTACCCCTCCCCCTCAACCCCAAACCATCCCAAACCACCTCAAATGGCCCAAAATACCTAATCCAACCTAAAACTTAAAAAAATTTCAAAAAAAAAAAAAATTAAAATCCGGCCCGGACCGGGCCCGAACCGGCCGAGCCGGTTCACCAAAACCTGGGCCCGGGCCCGAACCGCCCAGCAGCCGGGCCGGGCCGAACCCAACCGGTGGACCCACCGGGCCCCGGGCCGGGCCGGGCCAAACAGTAACCGGGCCGGGCCGCCCGGCCCGAGTCCAGCACTACCCGCTACTATGCGGGACCGGGACCGGCCCGGTTCTCGGGTCCGGGTCGAGCCTAGGCCCGGGGGGCGGGTCCGGGCTCGGGTCTCACATTTGGCGAACCAGCCCAGCCGGGTCGGGCCCGGGTCTGGGCTAAATTGAATTTGTTTTTTTCATTTTTTTGGGGTTCCACCCGGGTTGGGCTTGATGGTTAGGAGGGGTTTGAGGGGTGAGGGGGGTTAGGAAAGCAAAAAAAAAAACCAAACCGGAGGCCCGGCCCGGACCCGGTGGCTACCCGGGCCAGTCCCGGGTCCACCAATCCTGAACCGCCGGCCCGCCCGGGCCTAGGCCCGACCCGGACCCGGACCCGGCCCGGGTCCATCACTAATTAGTTTGAAACAATTTTTATCTGTCCCAGCCTCCCAGGCTGCTGTTGTCTAAATTTATTTTTAGGACCAACATGTTAACCTTATTTTAGAGAAAATTTTAGACGCAAGAGATTTTAAAAATGTTTGTAAAAGTGTATTATTTCTTTACCGTGTCTGCTACTCTGCTGTCTGCAGTTGCAATTTCAACCGTATCAAAATTACAAGTTAATGGTGTTAGTTCAATTTTACAACTAAATGAACTAAGGAATGACATGTACTAAACTGAACGGGCAATAACTGATGGCCTAAAAATGTAATTTATCATAAAGTAAAAGAAATTGTAATAAGCTAGAGGGTGCAGCAAGAGAAGAAGATGAAAATGAAAGAGTAGAAAAAAAGGCGAAAAAATGCCACTAACGTGTAGTATATTGTTTTCTCATTAACAGACAGACTTGCTTGATTATTCTCCAATAGTAAATGCACCCATGTGATGGTTTTGTAGTATATGGGTAAACAATTATTTCACAATAGGACTTATTTGACCTTTTTCTAAAAACTAAATATTAGAGTACATCATGAAATGTATATCAATTATGCTTAATTCATTCATATTTTGCACACATGCTTGATAAACATGCAATGTAAACACTTGAGAGTGCAAACTCTAATAGGATTGGCCTTCATCTGAGGCGCTCTGGGGGGTACACACTCTAAAGAAAATAAAAACATGAGATGTGAAATCAAATACGGGTATAGACACAAAAACGCAAAGACCGATTTATCCTTTTAATAAAATCAAAGCAAGTGAACTCTACAATCAATTTCATCTGCAGATTTCAGCATTGAGACTATCAAGTTGCTGCCTATAATAGTGTTCTCCATGACTCCATCTTTCAATGTTCCAATACAGACAGCTTTCTTTTCACGTTCCTATGGCAATGTACTCTAAATGATATACGTGTTTGTTCAAAATGTAAAAATTGCACATTCTTTTTATAGTAAAGTGGAAACATAGCTGAAAATTAAGAGAGAAAATATCCAGCATGCTACAAAATAGTTTTATGGTCTGAGATGTAATGTTTTCTATGAATGACCATTGCAAATTTAATGATATATTATGACTAAAAGTGTAGGATCATACATTTCCCACCTGGAGGGTTGTTTTCAGCGTTTGGAAAGCATTCCTTGCGTCAAAGAGGAAAAGTCATAATCTTTAGCCGCCAGTGTAGCAATGGAAGAAACTGGGGCCTCCGCCGCCTTGGTTGTTCCATGTGTGACTACACCATTGGTGGAAGAAGATTGTCCTGCGCTGTAGACACTGAAGTAGCATACAGAAACAAACATACATCAAATCAAAAGTACATAAAATAACCAGTTTAAGCACCTAGAGCTGGTCTATTTGGTTGCATTGAACACCTTGAATTCTAACCAGCCCTACTGGGAATGCAATGGGCAAACTTAAGACCCACAAAATTTTGAGAGCGAGTGATTTAACAAAGCCTCCAAAGAGTGAAGATTTCAGAGAATCAATTCAATTTTATGTCTGATTGCCCAACAACTGAGATCATTCACCTTCTTAGACAACTTGTGGAGAAGTGTAGCGATACTAACAAGGATCTACATTTGGTATCCATTGACTAAGAAAATGCATAGGATAGCTACCTCGAGAAGTCCTTTGATGGGCCTTAACTAGAAAAGGCATATCAAGTAAGTATATCAACATCGTCATGGATATATATGAGGATTACACTATATTACTAATGTAGGGAGAACTACAAAGTTCCCTATTACTATTGGAGTGAACTAAATGTAGAAGACAATTAAAGATGTATCATAGTACATGATGTTTGCTGATGTTTATTTGATTGATGAGACACGATCAGGTGTTAAAGCAAAGTTAGAAGTACAGCCACAAACTTTGCAGAACAAGGGTTTCAGGCTAAATCCAAGCAAGACCGAGTATATGGAGCACAAATTTGGTGGAGGTAAAACCGTAAAAGTAATGGAGACAATGAGATTATCTTGAACGGTAAGGGGATATTGGTCAATGATATATTTCGTTATCTACATTACATTCTTTGTCTTTTTACTTTTAATCTTTTTTATTTGTATTTTTATCTTATTTATCCTATCAGTTTTATCTTATCTTTATCTTTATCTTATCTTTTTTATCTTATCTTATCTTTCTATCTTTTTTATATTTCGTATCTTTTTTAGCTCCGATTTCATGTGTCGATTCATGTTAGCCGGCCCCAAACTTATTTTGGGACTAAGGCTTGGATGTTGTTGTAATGTGTTTGTTGCTATTGTTAGCACATGGCACGTTTGGATGCAACGCATACAAATCCATGTCAAATCCCCAAGTTCAGTGGCTTAAAAATAGATTTTGCCAATTTGCCTAAAATATTTTCAACATAGACATCAAATATATCTTACCTGGTAGTTGAAAATGGAACCGAGTTCCCAGCTAAATCTGGAGTAACCGTAGTGCCCACCTAGTTTAAGATCAAATGAAACAGAGGTATTACGACAGATTTTCAAGAGCTTCAGAGGAACTGCACTGTAAAACATATACCCTCCTTTTACCTGCAAATACTTCCCTAGTTCATTCCTTACAGCTGTGGGGCCCATTACCCCTGGAAACTGGTGATAGCCAAGATTCTGCCAGCCATGGTCTGATAAGTTGTTGGTGCCAGTTGGCACTTGTGCTTTTAGTGCACCCTCAGCTGGATTTGTAGCCGCCGCCATTAAAAGAGACTGTTGTTGTGCCAACATAACAAGCTGCTGTTGATGCATTGCAAACGGCGATACCATATTGGACTGCCATGGAGCAAATTATATAGTTTCAATAAGATGTCTAATAATGCAAGCAATAGTGAGCCCCAAGAACAATGACTCGAAAAGAAGTTATTGGTTTGACTTTCACGGTTTTTAACAAGTCAATTTGTTTGCTCTCACTTCTAGGTTTTCCCTGTGAAATCTGTGGCTGGATGTAACTATTGGTCAAAGGTGTGGACTGGGGATATTAACTGAAGATATTAAAGTAAATTAAGTCTTTTTCTTTTACCAAATTAGCAAGAGAATTTTATCAAGGACAAATTGAAAAGGAAAGCAAGAACATTATTTTGGGATGGAACGAGTAGTACCTTGTCAAAAAGGCTCATAATGTCATTCTTAACATCTTTTTTAGGCTTCTCTGACAAGGTGACAGGTGCAGTTGGTGGTGAATCCTTAAATAAATCTTCAACACCGGACGGCAATGGCGGCTTGATTTCTTCAGATGTTGTTGTCCCTGTTTCTTCGGAAGTTTTCAATGCTCCAGCAGCTGAAGTTTGGCATATTATCAAATTAAAAAATTGAATCTTCATAACCTAATTTCTATTTGTAAGTTCAACTTTCTGTGAACTCCACACCCACCTCCTCCAACACACACCCAAAGAAAATAAGAAAAGGATACTGAATCAAAGTTGATCTCAACATACACTGAAAACCTGCCCACATATTATCATCTGAAGCAACTGCCTCTGAGCCATTTTCGACTGGGTCATCCATTGAAAGCATGTTGAATAGATCAGTGGCGAAATCAACTTTAGGGGTAATGGCAGGTTCTGCAATCTGTTTTGCAGGTTCAGCTGCTGCCACTAGCTCTGCTTTCTGATTTTCTTGAGGTGTCAATTGAGGAGCTGCCTGTTATATAAGCAACAAGAAAACGTGAAGTCCACAACTTCAAATCCAATTCTAAAAATATCAAACTGCTCACTCATCATCATCATCATCATCATAACCCCAATGCCTCAAAGGCTCCCACCTATGGTGGGGTAAAAATATCAAACTGCTCACTATGTAAGAAAAATCAACAAGAGAAGCTCAACAATTCAGGCCGTAAAAAAACCATGGCACTTAAAATGCCATGGACATGGAAGATTTATATATCATCATTTCAATCACCATTTACCCCGGTGCCACAAAGGCTCCCACCTGCGGTGGGGTAAGGGGGGGTCAGATGTACGCAGTCTTACCCCTGCACTAAAGCACGGAGAGACTGTTTCCGGATGACCCATAATGAAAATTGCGTCCAAAATTGCATGACTGGCTGCTGCTTCATAACAAAGAAGAGCAGACAGTTTGGTTTGGTGAGCCATTTTGCTTTATTCCATCATATTCTCAAGCCAAAAAATAATGAATCTTTGGCTCCATTGCAAATGATGGAAAAACATGGAAGATTTATAGTATGTGGAAATTCAATCTATTGAAAGCCAATTATAAACCCGTGTCTTTGTCTTGTAAAAAGGATGTTCATGTACTAACAAAGTAACAGGTGTAAGAAGCCCACTCGTACACAAAGCATGGTTTGTGACACAAAACTGCAATAACTCAATAATCAAACTAGCATTAAAAGCAAAGCATAATACACTTATTAAGGAACTTTTTTTGGTACATGTAATGGGGGACCATGAAATTGTATTTCAAACAAAGTTTAATACCTCCCCCTGTCCTCCAAAAAGTCATGTTTCAGAAGCTTTTATTATCACGATGTAGTATTGATCCATCAAACAAATCTTATCTATCACGTAGTTTGTCTAAAACATTACAAACAAGTTAAATATGATAAATTTAGTTCATAACATTACAAACAACTTCACGATTTTATTTTCAAATATAAAAGTGGGAAATCATCAATTTTAAAAGTTGCACTTTTCCAAAATAAAAATGTTCACCTTGACGGCTTGACCTAACATGACACTCTTTTTGGGACAGAGGGAGTAGGTTTATCATGTAAAGCAGAATCCAGCTTACTGCAGAGCTATACACTTAATTCCACAAGGAACCCAATAAATTACACGAGCATAATAACTAATATTAAACCATAATGACATAACTATGCGCTAACATACATTGTCTTGTCCTTTAGGTGGCACTGGTATACTAACTCTAGCATTTGGAGTTTTATGCTTCATGCTTGGTGTCTGGACATTTTTCTTTTCATTGGATAAATTACCAGAGCTGTTTGCATGTCCATACCCACTTCTATCACTAGATTGTACCCACGGTGATGCTTGTTTCCCATCCTTCGGAACCCATCTTTTCTCTTCATATCTATAAATGCAAATGGACGGCCTCAATCACTCAAAAATGTAACAGATTAATGACTATTATAAGGATTTGGTAAGGAAAAAGTCACACACTTTGCACGAATGAAATTCTCAATTCCAACTCTATCATAATTTGGAGGTAGTTCTGCTTCCCAGTAACAATTTGCCTTCTCGTTTCCCATTGCTTTATAAAAAAATAACAGCAAATGTGTCACACATGTTTTGTCAGTGATCATATAACAACATCTAAGATTTTGATCATGCCACACATCGGAGAACTCACAGTGAATAAATGCAACTTGTTCTGGAAGCCATGTATCAAGTGTGGCTGATCTAACCTGAAATGTTTTGGAAATATCACAGAACAGAATTCACAAATTATCCAGATTCCAAAAATGCAGTCCTTCCAAAAGCACCCTTTTGCCTTTTATTTAATCTAGACCAGACCACTGCACTCATGTGACAAGTCTAATACATCTCAGTAGCCTTTTACTTATGACAAGTCTAATACATCCCTGTTGCTTCTCAAGGAATATTTTAATCACCTTTGATATATGTACTCCAAGACTTCTGTGGATCCCTGAGCATTGCATGCATATAAAGATTCCTAAATTCACGCTAGCCCATCGTGGGCCTCTGCACCAAATGAACATAAAGATAAAACACATTATAAATTAGTAAGTTCATCTACAATTCCACAAAGGTGAAGTCTATATTTTCACAGTGTAGTCCAGTACAATGGCAACAAAGTTTTCCCCCTTTCGGTAGGTCTAGATCCCAATGAAATGAAAATCAGACAATGTATAAGTAAATACACTTAAGAGTAAAACTTGCCAACACATACTTTACTTTGCAATCTGCACATTCTCTGTTCTCAGGCAACTTGAGAAGACCTTCTAAGATCTGCACCAAGGTACCAGAAAGCATCATTTTGAGTGAAAAAGAATGTCTATGGAGAAAACGCCAAGTGAATGAATACAACACCTAACTTTCATACAAAAACATTTACTAGACCTAGAACACCAACCACATTTGATTATGTGAAACATGCCTTCCATTTAGTTCATATGATTCCCTGACATTAAATCAGTTTCAGTTATTATTTTCTACCTTTAGTAGAGCTGTAGAGGTGTACTAATAGTCAACAGTTAACATCAATTAGATTGCTTTTGATTCCATCACAATTGTTAGCCTCTCAGCACAAGCAAAGCCTGTGCAGGCTAACCCTATGATCTAACTTTCCACTGATGAGGGTATGAACTCTCGCCTTGTAGTATTTGAGATAGCAGAAAAGGTTTCATGTTTGGCAAAATACACAAGCAAGCATGATGCCATTGACCTAATATTAGAAGTGTGTTCACGGATCTAAAATGAACACCTAAAAAGCTGCATAAAGAGCTACTTAGATTTCTAAACTGTATGTTCCAAACTCCTATTACTTGTATGTATGAACAATATAGCAAGAGAAGGTGCAAAAGAAGGGCTGGTCCAGTAGAACCTCAGTGATTTTACGGAATTCCATTGTATATATAACCATTTAAGGCAGTATTGCTATGCTTTGCAGATTGCAAAAGGATCATGATACCCAATGAGGACCGACCAACTGGTAGATCCGATGGCATATACCATAATCCTCAAACAATCAGTACTCTGAGTAGCAAAAAGATACCACATTTATATACGAGCATCTATATGCATTTCTAAAATGGAGACTTTGTAGCAAACTGCTAATCATACGGCAGGAAAATATCCTATAATGTTATTAAACACAATGATCGTACTACTTAAGCGTTAAAACCATCTTGTCTTAATCAATAATTTTGTGAATCTGATTAGAAAATACGTCTCATAATATCAATCTTATACGTAGTACTGCAAAAAAAAAAAAAGCCTAAGCGAAACCAAAATGCCATAATATAAAATTCACATCATAAATGATACGGAGTATTATACAAAAGCTAACTGCGCTTAAATCTTAAACATAGTTAGCAGTTTGAGTTTGCGTATCAGTAACAGGAAACCCGTCACTGTATGCTCAAATCTGATATGAGATCAAAATTAAAATAACAAAAAAATGAGGTGCATAAGAAAATTAAATGAGGAAACCTTTCTGTGCTTGGCGTTTAGCTCCTTAGAAACATTAGCCTTCTCATTCATGGTGACTGTGATGAGGGATTGCTCAGTTCAAATGGAGATGAATAACCCACCGATCTTTCTCCTCCCTCCGTCGCTCAGGCCCGTCGGTTTGGAAGACCACCGAGACACGCAGCTGAGAGAAAGGGAGGAAACACCGCCCCGTCGTCAGAGTAATTTAAAGATATTTGCATAACGCGTCCCCGTTTTCTTTTGTTTTCATATTTGTATCTTATTATGGTTATCGATCGGATCGACTGATAGTCGAACTATGCACGCGCGACACCGCAAGTCAGCAAGTGTGTGGGATTCTAGTTCACCGTTTAAATTTATAATAATAAATAGTATATGTTCAAGTTAACGTCAATATTCTTGATTGAAATGTATCTCGAACTTATATTCCTTTTGGAAGATGAACAATGATGTTCCAGTTATTTAAATTATTTGAGTAACTTGATATATTCCTTTTGGAAGATGAACAATGATGTTCCAGTTATTTAAATTATTTGAGTAAGTTGAATTTTGATAAAATTCTAATGGAAAGGAAGTAAGTTGAATTTTGATAAAATCCATGACATCTCCTTTACATGACAACATATTGCTATGTGACTCATTCGGAGAAATCCGAACAATATTTAAAAATTTTATACTCATTATTTAACATTTAACAGAATAAATTAAAATAATGGGAAAGTTCCCGAAATAGGACTCAAATAGTTGGAAAATTCCAAAAAAAGGACTGTCATGTTTTTTATTCCCAAAATGAGAGTAATTACTGCCAAGTTTGGAAAATACTACCATGTTTGAAGTCTGGTACTGCCAAAACATGACAGTAATTAGTCCTATTTTAGGAATAAAAACATGAAAGTCCTATTTTGGAATTTTTAAACCTTTTTAGTCCTATTTTGGGTAATATCTCTAAAATAGAAGGTAATTAGTCTTCTCAATAATGAAAACATTTTAATACTTGGTACGTAGTAATATTGAAAGCGCACACAATATGACAATGTTTTAAAATAGGGATAACTACCAAATAAGCCCTCGAACTTACATAAAAAGTGCAAAACACCCCTTATATAGGAGGCTATGTCCGGCCGTCGCCATTTGGGGCGGTTCCCGATGGAATTTTTTGATGAAAGTTTTTGAGCATCTTATTCATTAAGTCTAGTTTATTCATACCAAATTTCAGCTAAACATTCAACCGGGAAGGCAGTTAAATGATTTTCTGAAATATACTGCGCTGTTATCTTAAAAAATTCATTTGATTGCCTTCCCGGTTGAATTTTTAGCTGAACTTTGGTATGAGTAAACTAGACTTAATGAATAAGATGCTCAAAAATTTTCATCAAAAATTCCACTAGGAACCGCCCCACATGGCGATGGTCGGACAGAGACTACTATATAAGAGGTGATTTGCACTTTTTATTTAAGTTTGAGAGGCTTATTTGGTAGTTCTCTCTTTAAAATAAGTTTTAATCCTTCTAAGTAGAATACAAACCTAATCGGAATAACACGACTGTAGTAGCCTCATCTCATCGTGACAAGTCTCAACCTCAAGTTGTTGCGCGATCTACTCCTTATACTACCTGATGGAGTATATGGCTGAGGACCCCCGGCCCATAGACTCCTACTTCTCCTACACAGGTCCATCAAGCCCACTGAACACACAAAGCCCAAACACAGCGACCCAAATGTTAAGAGCCCACGGTGCACATGTAATGCCTTCGGCTCCTAGGTGCCGAGTCGGCACCTAGCAAAAAGGAGCCCTTGTCTCCTACAACACACTCAGCGAAGATTCCTTTTGGGGACAAGCAACCACCGCATTTAATGCTGCATCACGTCTAACCACCGCATTTAATGCGGTGTACATGCATATGCCGGTGCCATCCCGATTGAGGTGACCCCTCGGCCGTCAGATTGTTGACACGTGTACTCTTATCGCATTTGTGACTGCTATAAATAGCACCCTTTATTCCTCTTGTAAAGGATCCCAGAACAAGTTCATTTAATATACTTGGCTCTCTCTCTCTCTTACTTACTTGCTCCGACTTCTCTCTAGGTTATTCCCCGCAATAACCCCTCGGATAAGCTCGGATAAGCTACCCCGGCCACACCATCCATCACTAACTCGTTACTTCGTTAGAAATTAGAGGGGTTATTGTCTTTCTCATTTAAAGCATACCTACTGGCTACTACCATCCTTTGCCGTGGTTCCAACTATTGTCAATTAGGCAATACCAAGACATTACAGAGGGTGCACCAAGAATTTTGATTGGCATGGCATGAAAAAGACATGCCACTCTAGGGTTAAGTCTTTAGTTTGCCTTATATTGCCATCTCCCCTTTGAGGGTGTGACGACCCAACGCTTGATTTGCTTGACAAAGATTTCTAGGTGTCTAATTGGGTGTGTCTATTACCCTTTCCCTTACTACTGATCTAGTCAGTAGCAACACAATGTTTCATCCTCAAAACTAACTAGAAATAAGTAAATAACTACTGCTGCTTGAATAACTTTTTAAGCTCTTGATAGTATGTTTATTATCCTTATTATCTTTTGATTTCCTTGCACCCATTCCCTGTTCTGTAATTAGTGTAATCTGTTTCTCTTTATATAGACACTAATGGTGGGAGCTTTGGGGAATCGTGTTGCTGTATATCTATACAACCCTCTACAATGCATGAAAATGCGGCCATCATTTTAGTCAATTTATGGCATATTGATGGAACCCGAAGGTTAGCCAATTTAGAAATCTTGAAAAGAAACAATAAAAAAGAGCAGCCAAGTGCACATCAGTGTTCTCAGTTCTGTGTTCATGCAAGGCGATGTGGAGGGGTTTCACCACAAAGTGTACTGGTCTGATGAGACCGGGACTCGTCTATAATATAAATGTGATATTGTGATATATGTAGGTTGTCGTGTGCGGGAGTGGATGCGGAGGTCGCCGACACCAAAGAGCAGGGGCAATTTCCATGGCGAAATGGATGTGGGTCTGCTGCTTCTGTTGGAGTATAGAGGGGGTGATTCTTCTTTATCAGCAGAACTTTCGGCTGACTGGGCTGAGTACAGAGCGTGTGGCGGCGGTGCACTGTTGAGTGACAACACGGAGTACGGCTGCTGCCCCAGATCTTCTATCCGACGGCGGCACAACCGGACTAAGGAGTATGGATTCCAGCAGCTCTTTTTCTTCCTCCTCTCTAACTTGCCACTAGATTTCCACTATGTTTCAGGCAGGTTGCTCTTCTGCATTGGTCCGCTTGTTTGCTGCTTTTTTCGATAGACATGTGGCAGGAAAGCGGAAGAATGACTGGTCAACCCTTGTTGACCCAAGATTTATTGTGTATCAGTGCCAGGATGCTTTTAAATGATCAAAATCTGATAAAAACAACCAATATTGATTAGTACACTTGTCAATAAATTGGACTAAAAATCTAATTTGATAAAAACAACCAAAATTGATTAACAACGCCTATTAATAAATTGGACGAAAATCTAAATAATTGACACATCATTAAACCCGGAAGTCAATCAAATGTGGTAATAAGGATGTTTTTATTTGGACCGAAGATTTCTGGTCGGGCCTGGTCTTGTCTAGTGTGTTTTAAGTCTGGTCTGGCCTGGTCTTGTCTGGTGTGTTTAAGTCTGGTCTGTTCTGATCTGGTAAATATTTGGTCTTTGTGTATTTTATAACTATCTAGGTCTAATCTTATTTGTTTAAGTATGATCCGGTCTATTTTACTCTGGGACTGAAATAAGTCCAAGTAAAAACATCATAAATAAGCAAGCTTTCCCTTGTCAACTTTTGACAAGAGACCACTCTTAGGACTTGAACTCGTGATCTCTCGGTTATATAGTAATACCTTAACCAGAGGCATGGAGGCACTGCTTTTGAAATGGCTTGTGTTCAACCACTAATCATCCTGCAAACACAAGCATGACATCAGATGAGCAGGGGTTTTTTGTTATTCGCTCTGAAACAATAGAGAAATTCAACTATGGCTAAGAACTAAACAGATGCATGTATTTATATACAGACTTGGACTCTACAGTGAGATCCGCCTACATGGGAGCCTCAATCTCATCCTACCCAAAGTATATGTCTTGAACAATAAATAAAATATGGGATCTTAAATCAAATAATTCACAGGAAATTAATTTATAATAAACAAAAACTGGAAACTGGTATGCCTAGAAAAAGTCGAGGAATCTCAATCCAGTACGGTGGTACGGAGTAATGGAGATTTGAAAGTAAACTAAAAGCCACTATTTCAAAATGCAAGTTTACTTTGAATATTGTCCCTATTTAATTAAAGCTATTTTATCATTACAGATATATGATCCGGTGACTTGTACTCCTAGCCTCTTACAATTCAAAGATACCATGCAAAGCATGTTTCAAAGCACAAAAAATTGCCCAAGAGTTCTAATTACACTTCTGGTTGAAAACAACACCGCGGAATAACTTTAAGCTTGAATTCTGATTGTGAGGTAGTGAGGTGTCATCTCTGTTCAAAATAGAGTCCTTATATAGTATGCATACTCATAAATTGGAATATCAATCACACACATGATGTGAATCTTTAACAACCACCAGAGTTTGCAACCCGATGTCCTTGGATAAAAGCTTGCAACTTTTCAGTTTGACCTATTGCAGAGAACCATCCTGTGAGAATCTCCAGGGTAACATAATCAGGATTGCAGAGGTTTTCAGTCATTTGATCCATCAATACAAAAGCCCTCTCAAGCCAATTCCTCTCCCGAAGACCTTTAAGGATTGCATTGTACGTTGTTGTATTAGGCCTAACACCCTTGGCCCTCATATCATCATTCATTAAAGAGAGGGCATCTTCAACTTTGTCACTCTTACACAGTGACTCAATCAATATATTGTATATAACTCGATTGGGCAACACTTTTGAACTCAACCACATCGTCTCAAATAGTCTCATAGCTTCATCAGTTTTACCTGCCATGCAATATGCATGAATTATTGCTCCATATGTGATAACCGTAGGCACCACCCCCTCATCTATCATCTTCTTCAACAATGTGTGGGCCTTTGAAAATCCACCCTTCTTACTGAAGAATGATATCAATGTGTTGTATGTAACACAGTCAGGCTTGATGATGCCACTTTGTTCTATTTCTTGAATCAACTCATGAACCTTATTCCATTTGTTCCTCTTGCAAAATCCAGCAATGAGAATATTGTAGCCAGTAATGTCTAGTAAAAACCCGGCTTCTTTCATCCTTGACAACACAAGGCAAGCGTCATCCATCCTTCCAGCCTGGCTTAACCCAGATATCAAGCAGTAGTACACAATTGCATCTGCGTAACACCCACTTTCTGTCATTTCAGTAAATAACTGCATTGCCTTCTCAATATTGTTGACGTTGGAAAAGGCAGTAATAAGTATGGTGTAACTAACTGCATTCGCCTTAACACCCTTCGCTTGCATTTCAGTGAAGAATTTCATTGCACTGCCAACCCTTCCATTTTTACACATCCCATCAAGCAAATTATTATAAGTAATCATGTTTGGCACTAGTTCCGCATCCTTGGTCATCTGGGAAAAAAGATTAACAGACATATCAATCTCTCCAGCTTTGCAAAACCCACTAATTAAACAATTATAGGTAACGGTGTTGGGTTTACATCCATTCTCATCCAACCTCATCTTTTCCATCAAGTCTAATCCTTCTTCTGTCCTCCCAACTTTGCATAGCCCATCAATCAAAGTGTTGTAAATGACTGTATCAGGCTGAACAGCATGAATGCCTTCATTCCCATCCTTCATCTTTTCAAAAACAAGCAAGGCCTCATCAACCCTATGAAGCTTGCACAAATGATTAATCAGAATCCCGAATGTCATTATGTTTGGTTCAATTCCCTTTTCCTTCATCATGTTTGTGAGCATATTCATCTTCTGAAAATCATGCTTCCTACCAAGCCCTGCCAAAAGGGCATTGCAGGAACCGGTTTTTACCGGACCACCAGACCTAATCACATCGTGCAAAAGCTCCCATGCTTCATCACATCTACCACTTCTGCAAAACATGGTTACTAATTTAGATACCCAAATGTCATCCGGGAACAGTCCATGTTCACCAAATCTTGAAACAAGGGCTTGAATTTGATCCTCACTGATCACAGATGGTGTGTCTCTCCCGCCTCCCTTCCTCCAAATTTCAGACAATAACATGTCCAAGGTGTTCTGGTTTGGCCGTAAGGAAATGTCTGTCTGGAGCAATTCGTCTAGCACCTCCAAAGCATAATCAAGACGAGCCCCTCTAACCAAAGCAGCTAAAAGAGTATTCACCACATTCCTGTTCCTCAACTCAGGGCTAAGTTCATGGAATACGTTTATGGATTCCTCGAACATTTGAGCTTCTGTGAAGCAACGGATCAGCATCATTGCCGCATTAATGGACAGAGGGATTTCATTTTCCTTAGCAGAGCAAAAGAGATCGTAGAGCATAGTGGGTGAGCTCCTAGTCTCCCGCATTGCGTGCTCGATAATAGCTTGAAATGCTAGGGATAGGCATGATGAAGAGGGAGACTGAGCAGGTGATACCTGTTCCTTGAGGATGTCAAAGAACAGTTGCGCCTTCTCAGCTGAGCCCAATTGACGGGCGATCAGGAGGACTAAGTTGGGGGAAGGAGGACTGTGCAGGAATTCATCGACTTCATGATTGGCCCTCCAATCTTTTGGGTCTGTTTCTCGTAGAAGTGAGACTAACCGGGAAACAGGAGACGGGGAATCCGAAATTGGTTTCAACGGCGTCTTAGGAGAAGAACTGAGTTCGCCACGGGCGGAAGCTGCGGAACTGAAGAGAAAAGTGATGTGCGCGATGATTCCACCGTGTCTCCTGAGTTGGAGGCGGTGGCTAGCAGCTACGAATATCATATTCAGAGAGTACGGGAGCACGGGCAAAATATAAACCACCACTACAGCACTAATCTTCTATCTCTACCCTTTTCCACTCCGCTCATCTTCTCCATTCTCCTCTTCGACGGAGGATATCCTTTCAGTTCCAAATTCATTTTGGGCTAAAAGGTCAAATTCACACAATCACACTCTACTCATGATTCAAAAAGTTCCAATTAACGCTTAAAATAGATAAAAGGGAATTTTCTCAAAATGGGACTATTTAGCTTTACTAATTCCCCAAGTAGAATTCCCCAAGTAGAATTCAAATTCGGGTAGGACCAAATCACAAGCGAAATGCCGGTTATACCCTCAAGTACCAACGCGCCGAATCACGATTTTCCATAACCAAATATACGTGTCTCTGCATCGTGGTCTGGGAAGTTACTCGAGCCTCTCCAACTATCGAAGAAACCATCTTCAACTTACGCAGAGCAACTTCCGCAGAGCAAAACGTACTCGAAGGAGAAAACGACTGGCACTGAGAACACAGAAGTGAGAAGCGACGAAGAAAGCACCATTGTTGTCGTCAACAATGGCCGATTTGAACTCCATAAACACGGAGCGGAGAAACGACATGAAGCCGGTATGTCTTCCTATGTTTATGATTTACATTTGCGAAAACTAGGTTAAAATGTGTGATAAGAAGTCTAATAATGTAAGTTACAACCTAATTTCTACTTGCATGTGTATCATTCTGAACAGAACAAGTGCGATAGATTTTTTTACTTCGATGTTTAATATGGTGTATTGTTTACCTAGAAAATAGATGCAAACATGGATTACTTCCTTTATAGTATGTACAAGTCAAGAGAATTCATATATTTCTAGATTTATTGAGTTGTTCAATCATGGTCTGTTTTTGAAATATTGATGAGTAATTAGTGTTGTTTAGGAATTAAACCAGCTACTAAACGGTCTTGACATTTTAGATTACATATACTGTCATTTTACTTACTTGCAATGATGAATGTAAACACAATATTGATATTTACTGTTCATAGGCAATAAGAAGGTCATGTGACAAGGACATCTTGTCAAAGATGAACAAACTAAGAGTAAACTGCTATTGCAATGTGCTGGAAGTGGTTAAGGCCATTAAGATGTACTTGAACGAAGAAGAACAGGCTGAATTTAGAAGAACTGTGTTTGGGTGGATTCTGGATGCAGATTCTATATCATGGATAAATGGGCAGTTGTTATTGGGGCTGATTGGGAATCATGTTGAAGAGGTGAATCACAGAGTAGAAACTGAGAAGATCACTGTCAACCTTAGAAACAGTTTGGTGTCATTTACAAAAGAAGACTTCGCTCTGGTGACATCTTTTAGGATGGATGGAGTTAAGAAAAAAATACAGAAAGATGTGCAGGGGGATATCTGGAAGAGATACTTCAATGGGAAGACATATGTGTCCCGACAAAACATCACCGATGCTTTGATTGCATACAACCGTGATGATGAGGGAACTGTTGAAGGTGATGGTGTCAAATTAGCTTTGTTGTATCTGCTAGGGAATGCATTATTTGGAAACCAAAATAAAGTAGCACTGCCTTCGTACTATGTGAATCTGTTGGATGATATGGAAGCTTTCAATAGCTATCCATGGGGAAGAGACATATGGGATGATTTGGTCAACAATGCAGGAAAAAGCTATGTAGCACCGATACCGGTACGCGGAAACGCGGAAACGCGGAAACGGGTACAGGGATACGTCAAAACCAAAAAAGGTAGGATACGGATACGGGGTCATATTTATAAATATTAAAAGTTATGGGGGTGTATTTACAAATAGTAAAAGTTATAAGGGTCTACTTATAAATATTAAAAATAGATTTTTTTTAATATATATATATATATATATATACATATAATATCCTATGATGTCTACCTATTCATTGCTTTGAAGCATTTTCCTTTTTCAAGATACTTAGTAATAAATTCATAATATTTCTCACATACACTAGTCATCTCGAAATATAAATATAGTCAATAAGTCATTAATTTAAAATGAGAAATAAGTCAAACAACTACAATCTTGAAATTAAAAGTGCAAGTATCCAATTCGGAGTATGAGTTAATGACTTAATTCGGATATAGCCATATAGGCTCATTATTTGATTACCAAGTAAAATGTAGTTTTAGATTTTCATTTTTTTAGAATTTTATTAAGTAAATTTTGGGTTTTTTTTAAAAGTTGATACGGGTATCCGTCAGGATACGAGTATCGGAAACTTTCAAAAAATTACAAAAAAAAATGGAAACTTTTAAAAATTGCAGATACGGCCCGGGAACGTACGGTACGGGTATCCTAGAGTATCGGATACGGGAACGTATCGGATACGCCGATACGCTACCCTAGCGAAGTATCCGTGCTTCATAGGGAAAAAGTGTTGAGTTACTGACTACAAGTTCTTCAGACTGTGTCACATTTCCTGGGTTTATGTTTGCTGTACAAGTATGGGCCTTTGAAACTCTTACAGGACTGAACAAAGCTGGTATTTGCGTCTTCAAAGAAAATCAAGAGAATGCTATTCCTCGCACCCTGAAATGGAGTTTTAACAAAAAGCCAAGTCTGCAACTTCTGTGCAAGTTGATATTCCATAACAATGAGGTATCAATTGAAATATTTACAATGTACACAATTGATTTTAATATAAATATATTGATGAAATGTTTTTCTTTTATGCAGTTTGAATATAAACCAATGGAACCGACAGCTGAAGAGATGGAAATACCAGAGTTGGCATTACTGTTCCAAAACTTCGAAAGAGAACGTTGGCAGTTTGATGGTGGAATAGACTATAGTGAAGAGATACAAACTGAAGGTAATGACAAAGGTGCAGATTGCAATGAGAAAGAAGTTGAAAATGGAAGTGGAAAGGTGTAGAAAAAGAAGAAGTCAAGGTCCAGAAAGGGTGCTGCTCTTAAAAGAAAGTACACTAGGGAAAGCAATGATGGTGAAGAAGATGACTCATTACTGCAAAAACTTGTTAAGAAGACTGACATGATGATGGAAGAAATGGCAAGGATTAAGAATATCGAGAGAACACATGGGTCTTTATTGAGAAAGATACTGACAAGGTTGGAAGGTAGACATGTATTGACAGATGAAGCTAAGGAGGTCAGCCAAGGGGAAAAGCAATGCATCTTTGAAAAAGATGATGTGGTGCTTCATGACAAAACAACTGAAAGAGGGAAATGTGATAAAGCTGGGAACATTGAAATTCATGAAAATGGCACTGAGAAGGATGAAATTGGAGAGATGGATGTAGATAAAGGGGGTCATATACAGACAGTGCCAGAGGAGGTTGATGATGCTTAAGAGTTGTTGAAGAATGATGAAAATAAAAGTTCTAATGAAAAGGAAGCAATGGCAGAGGAAGATGGCACCGTTGTTGAAAAGGAGAATGTTGAAGTGTCTGAGAATGAGATAGATTCTCAAAGACCATCGTTCAATATATTTGGTTTTTCTTCACAGGAAGAAGAGCTTATGAAAAAAACTGACGAGGAAATACTAGGAGACTTGAACAATGCACGTGAGCCAGTTGTTGATGGCACAACAGAGAAGATGGATGTTGGCAATGATACTGGAAAAGAGGACTGGAGAAAATTGAATGATGATGACACAGATTATGATGAGGATGAGCTGCTCAAAGTGGATGAGCTGGTTAACAAAACCATATAAAAGAGAAAAGAGAAGTCAACCGAAACAACCATTGAGGAATCCACAAAGGTATGAAGTTCAAAAGTTGTTCAATACATATTCAAATAATATATATATTAATAATAATTAATATCTCAATATATTGCAGGAAATGGAAGTGGTAGAAGGGAAACTGGAAAGTAAGTCAAAGAAAGAAGATGCCAGTGCTATAAATCAGGTATAGTTCTGTTAGCACATAATTCTGACAGTACTATGATGTAGTTTTTAGTATTGCCAAATGTCTAATATAGTTACTGACAAACAAGACAGTATTGAACATGAGTATGTGTCAACGTTGGTAGTAACACATGACAGAACTTGCCAATAACTGAACTAGGATGGCAATGATGTTCAACATGCATATGCATCCTATATTGCCAGTAATAATGCGTAGTTAATATTTAATGGCAAATTTAGTGACATGACAGAACTTGCCAGTAACTAATGAGAACATTTATGAATTGTTGGCAGTAATGGTATATAAAGTATAAAGCGTACTGACACTAGATCATACAGTGCAAAATTATACAGGTTTACCAAGAACCAGAACCTCTAGCTGTGATTTATGGAGCTGCAGATGTAAAAAAGTCCAAAAGGAAACCTACATCTCCGGAGCGCTACACGCCATCAGAGAGAACTGTGGAGAAAAAGAGAAAGAAGGTTGACAAAGTGAAGAAGAAGGTGCAGGAAAAGTCATTGTCGCGAACACTAGAGCTCAACGGTCCATTTTCTGAAGATCCGAAGCATATGCCAAAGAAGCATCAGGTTGATAAAGTGGCAGCTTATTTAAAGGTTGGATTGCTGAAAAACAGAAAGCGTGGTATAGGATCTGTCCAATATAGGAAACATGATGAAAACATGCATGGAAAGCCATTCCTATTGGACTGCATGACTGTTGATTCAAAGACATGGTTGTATGAGCTGTTTACCAACCCAGAATGGTTACGCGATACGGTATGTTTTAATTCAAATATTCAATGACATATCCATCAATTAATTACTTAAATTCTGATCATTTGTGAAAATGTACTCTAACAACTATGTAAACATTTTATGCAACAGCATATAGAAGTGGGAATGTATTACTTAAAATACAAAGCTGAGCAGTACAAGATCCCTCAAAAGTTCACCACAACAAGCCCCTTTTTTGTTGCCCACTTAAAGACAGAGAATGATAAAGTTGCACAAAAGAAGATCACTGTGGGCGAGGCTGCAGATGATGATGCTATAATGACTGAAATCTTAGGAAGTAGAGAAGATGTGTCTAGTGCATGGTCTGAAGTAGATTTTGTCTACATGCCAGTGAACAATGGAAACCACTGGGTGTTAGTGGTTCTTGATTTACAGAGCAGGATGATGAGAGTTTATAACTCTAACTGCAGAAGAGGAGAGTCCCTGAGAGATATTGGCAAATTTCTACCAGGCTTGACAAGTCTACTGCCAAAAATC